ACTTTAACGGACACGACAGTATCAACATTATGTACCTGGGGAGTAGGATAAGGGGGGTAAAATCGGCAAAAAGTAGTGCGCGCGCTACAAAAAATCTATTGCTGGCCGTATTTCAGCAAAATACGTCCGCGATGCATATTATCGATTATGCCAACAGATAGAGGACACTTTAACGGACACGACAGTATCAATATTATGTACCTGGGGAGTAGTATAAGGGGGGTAAAATGAGCAATAAGTAGTGCGCGCACCACCAAAAATCTTTTGCTGGCCGTATTACGGCAAAATACGTCCGCGATAAATATTACCGATTATGCCAACAGATAGAGGACACTTTAACGGACACGACAGTATCAACATTATGTACCTGGGGAGTAGTATAAGGGGGGTAAAATCGGCAAACAGTAGTGCGCGCGCTACAAAAAATCTATTGCTGGCCGTATTACGGCAAAATACGTCCGCGATAAATATTACCGATTATGCCAACAGATAGAAGACACTTTAACGGACACGACAGTATCAACATTATGTACCTGGGGAGTAGGTTAAGGGGGGTAAAATGAGCAATAAGTAGTGCGCGCACCACCAAAAATCTATTGCTGGCCGTATTACGGCAAAATACCTCCGCGATGCATATTACCGATTATGCCAACAGATAGAGGACACTTTAACGGACACGACAGTATCAATATTATGTACCTGGGGAGTAGTATAAGGGGGGTAAAATCGGCAAAAAGTAGTGCGCGCGCTACAAAAAATCTATTGCTGGCCGTATTGCGGCAAAATACGTCCGCGATGCATATTACCGATGATGCCAACAGATAGAGGACACTTTAACGGACACGACAGTATCAACATTATGTACCTGGGGAGTAGGTTAAGGGGGGTAAAATGAGCAATAAGTAGTGCGCGCACCACCAAAAATCTATTGCTGGCCGTATTACGGCAGAATACGTCCGCGATGCATATTACCGATTATGCCAACAGATAGAGGACACTTTAACGGACACGACAGTATCAATATTATGTACCTGGGGAGTAGTATAAGGGGGGTAAAATCGGCAAAAAGTAGTGCGCGCGCTACAAAAAATCTATTGCTGGCCGTATTACGGCAAAATACGTCCGCGATAAATATTACCGATTATGCCAACAGATAGAGGACACTTTAACGGACACGACAGTATCAACATTATGTACCTGGGGAGTAGTATAAGGGGGGTAAAATCGGCAAAAAGTAGTGCGCGCGCTACAAAAAATCTATTGCTGGCCGTATTGCGGCAAAATACGTCCGCGATGCATTTTACCGATGATGCCAACAGATAGAGGACACTTTAACGGACACGACAGTATCAACATTATGTACCTGGGGAGTAGTATAAGGGGGGTAAAATCGGCAAACAGTAGTGCGCGCGCTACAAAAAATCTATTGCTGGCCGTATTACGGCAAAATACGTCCGCGATAAATATTACCGATTATGCCAACAGATAGAAGACACTTTAACGGACACGACAGTATCAACATTATGTACCTGGGGAGTAGGTTAAGGGGGGTAAAATGAGCAATAAGTAGTGCGCGCACCACCAAAAATCTTTTGCTGGCCGTATTACGGCAAAATACCTCCGCGATGCATATTACCGATTATGCCAACAGATAGAGGACACTTTAACGGACACGACAGTATCAATATTATGTACCTGGGGAGTAGTATAAGGGGGGTAAAATCGGCAAAAAGTAGTGCGCGCGCTACAAAAAATCTATTGCTGGCCGTATTACGGCAAAATACGTCCGCGATAAATATTACCGATTATGCCAACAGATAGAGGACACTTTAGCGGACACGACAGTATCAACATTATGTACCTGGGGAGTAGTATAAGAGGGGGTAAAATGAGCAATAAGTAGTGCGCGCACCACCAAAAATCTATTGCTGGCCGTTTTACGGCAAAATACGTCCGCAATGCATATTACCGATGATGCCAACAGATAGAGGACACTTTAACGGACACGACAGTATCAACATTATGTACCTGGGGAGTAGTATAAGAGGGGGTAAAATGAGCAATAAGTAGTGCGCGCACCACCAAAAATCTATTGCTGGCCGTTTTACGGCAAAATACGTCCGCTATGCATATTACCGATGATGCCAACAGATAGAGGACACTTTAACGGACACGACAATATCAACATTAAGTACCTGGGGAGTAGTATAAGGGGGGTAAAATCAGCAATAAGTAATGCGCGCGCTACAAAAAATGAACATTAAATAACTAATACAACTAGTACCTATTAAGACTACAGCCTGGTTTACAAGGGTAGAGTTGTGGGTAGAGTTTACTATTAGGTACTAGTTGTATTAGTTATTTAATGTACATTTTTTGTGGCGCGCGCACTACTTATTGCTCATTTTACCCCCCTTATACTACTCCCCAGGTACATAATGTTGATACTGTCGTGTCCGTTAAAGTGTCCTCTATCTGTTGGCATCATCGGTAATATGCATCGCGGACGTATTTTGCCGAAATACGGCCAGCAATAGATTTTTTGTAGCGCGCGCACTACTTATTGCTCATTTTACCCCCCTTATACTACTCCCCAGGTACATAATGTTGATACTGTCGTGTCCGTTAAAGTGTCCTCTATCTTTTGGCATCATCGGTAATATGCATCGCGGACGTATTTTGCCGAAATACGGCCAGCAATAGATTTTTTGTAGCGCGCGCACTACTTTTTGCCGATTTTACCCCCCTTATCCTACTCCCCAGGTACATAATGTTGATACTGTCGTGTCCGTTAAAGTGTCCTCTATCTGTTGGCATCATCGGTAATATGCATCGCGGACGTATTTTGCCGAAATACGGCCAGCAATAGATTTTTTGTAGCGCGCGCACTACTTTTTGCCGATTTTACCCACCTTATCCTACTCCCCAGGTACATAATGTTGATACTGTCGTGTCCGTTAAAGTGTCCTCTATCTGTTGGCATCATCGGTAATATGCATCGCGGACGTATTTTGCCGAAATACGGCCAGCAATAGATTTTTTGTAGCGCGCGCACTACTTATTGCTCATTTTACCCCCCTTATACTACTCCCCAGGTACATAATGTTGATACTGTCGTGTCCGTTAAAGTGTCCTCTATCTTTTGGCATCATCGGTAATATGCATCGCGGACGTATTTTGCCGAAATACGGCCAGCAATAGATTTTTTGTAGCGCGCGCACTACTTTTTGCCGATTTTACCCCCCTTATCCTACTCCCCAGGTACATAATGTTGATACTGTCGTGTCCGTTAAAGTGTCCTCTATCTGTTGGCATCATCGGTAATATGCATCGCGGACGTATTTTGCCGAAATACGGCCAGCAATAGATTTTTTGTAGCGCGCGCACTACTTTTTGCCGATTTTACCCCCCTTATCCTACTCCCCAGGTACATAATGTTGATACTGTCGTGTCCGTTAAAGTGTCCTCTATCTGTTGGCATAATCGATAATATGCATCGCGGACGTATTTTGCCGCAATACGGCCAGCAATAGATTTTTTGTAGCGCGCGCACTACTTTTTGCCGATTTTACCCCCCTTATACTACTCCCCAGGTACATATTGTTGATACTGTCGTGTCCGTTAAAGTGTCCTCTATCTTTTGGCATCATCGGTAATATGCATCGCGGACGTCTTTTGCCGCAATATGGCCAGCAATAGATTTTTTGTAGCGCGCGCACTGATTTTTGCCGATTTTACCCCCCTTATACTACTCCCCAGGTACATAATGTTGATACTGTCGTGTCCGTTAAAGTGTCCTCTATCTGTTGGCATCATCGGTAATATGCATCGCGGACGTATTTTGCCGCAATACGGCCAGCAATAGATTTTTTGTAGCGCGCGCACTACTTTTTGCCGATTTTACCCCTCTTATACTACTCCCCAGGTACATAATGTTGATACTGTCGTGTCCGTTAAAGTGTCCTCTATCTGTTGGCATCATCGGTAATATGCATCGCGGACGTATTTTGCCGCAATACGGCCAGCAATAGATTTTTTGTAGCGCGCGCACTACTTTTTGCCGATTTCACCCCCCTTAAACTACTCCCCAGGTACATAATGTTGATACTGTCGTGTCCGTTAAAGTGTCCTCTATCTGTTGGCATCATCGTTAATATGCATCGCGGACGTATTTTGCCGCAATACGGCCACCAATAGATTTTTTGTAGCGCGCGCACTACTTTTTGCCGATTTTACCCCCCTTATACTACTCCCCAGGTACATAATGTTGATACTGTCGTGTCCGTTAAAGTGTCCTCTATCTGTTGGCATCATCGGTAATATGCATCGCGGACGTATATTGCCGCAATACGGCCAGCAATAGATTTTTTGTAGCGCGCGCACTACTTTTTGCCGATTTTACCCCCCTTATACTACTCCCCAGGTACATAATGTTGATACTGTCGTGTCCGTTAAAGTGTCCTCTATCTGTTGGCATCATCGGTAATATGCATCGCGGACGTATTTTGCCGCAATACGGCCAGCAATAGATTTTTTGTAGCGCGCGCACTACTTTTTGCCGATTTTACCCCCCTTATACTACTCCCCAGGTACATAATGTTGATACTGTCGTGTCCGTTAAAGTGTCCTCTATCTGTTGGCATCATCGGTAATATGCATCGCGGATGTATTTTGCCGCAATACGGCCACCAATAGATTTTTTGTAGCGCGCGCACTACTTTTTGCTGATTTTACCCCCCTTATCCTACTCCCCAGGTACATAATGTTGATACTGTCGTGTCCGTTAAAGTGTCCTCTATCTGTTGGCATCATCGGTAATATGCATCGCGGACGTATTTTGCCGCAAAACGGCCAGCAATAGATTTTTTGTGGCGCGCGCACTACTTATTGCCAAGTTATTGCCAGGTTCACACAAGTGTCCTAAGTAGCCTATACTTGGTGGGATAAGGGCCCCAAGAACCTTTGTATAGCCTAGGCCTATTCAGTATGGATTTACTTACATTGTGAACACGTTTGGATTACCATTACAACTGGTGGTTACAAAACCCTCGGGAAATTTTTAGTCCAAAATCACACTCGATGACCCAACTCACATTTTGTGATCCTTACGAATATGACATGTTGTCCTTCCCTGATCGAGAAACACACAACACACACACACTCACGTAATGGTTAGAAATCAAAGCACCTTAACGAACAAATGTTAGCACTCTATTCTCAAAATCTCTTATACAAGAATTACACTCCCGGAGAACAAATTTAATGCGGGTTATTCACATTTCTAGCACGTCAACTCGACATTTTTGTTCACTTATTATATGAAAAACGAAGAAATTTCTTTACAAGCGGCTTGATATTTTTGACTATAAACAGCACCAAAGAGGATAACTGCTAAAAATACAGAATGGCGTTCTAAAAGAATGCATAGCATCAAAATTTCTCTATGGTATAATTATGTTCTGCCATGTAGGGGAAAAGAAGACAAATTTATTATTGTAATTGTATTTGTATGTAAGAAAAAGCTAAAACGCCAGGATTTTCGTATTATCAAAGGTAGCATAAAAATGTAATCTTTGGTATTATGTATCTAAAACTGATTGTGGAGTATGCCTAAATGTGTCTCATTATGAATAGTGTTGCCATTAAAGTACACTAAGAAAAACAGACTTCGAACAGATATTTTATATGGATGAATAGTTTATAATAAAATAATATGATGCCCTGCATACAGATTTTTTACAATCCATGAAGATTTCAGAATACCTACAGTAATTGAAGAAATAACAGGAATTAGCAAGAACTATCAAGAAAAACTCGAAACCCACCCGAACAATATAGCCGTTAATTTACTGGACAATAGCGATTTTCCCAACAGACTGAAAATTGTGAAGGTTCTTGAATTCCCATACCGATTTGTATAGTTTTAGTTATGACATGACTATTTAATTTTGCAAGATCTTTCACAGGGAAGATTCTTGGTCAAGCCACTTATTTATATTATCCCTTTTACTAATTGTTCAAAGTACTGAACAGATTGTAAAATAAAATGAAGTTAAGAAAAAAGTTTTCGCACAGATAAAACATACTCCCTTAGTAGATTTCTTATCATTATGGAACAGCTGTCAAAGCCAATTTTATCATTAGTTCTGTCCAAGGTTACCTTGAGCCATAGATTATTAAACATACTCCTTGAGGAGTATGTTTTAATCTATACTTGAGCTCTGTCCGGTGCACTGTAGAGGTTCTGTTTTGTTTACAATTTTTTTCTTGTTATTTCAGTCATTTTAACCAAGGCCCCACTAGAAAATTGTTTCTAGTGGCGGCCTTGTTTAAACCCCCGTTTAGCCAAATAAAACGATATACAGTGATAAAACGATATACAGTGATAAAACGATATATAATGATATAACTAAACAGTAAAGCACGAATCATGAAATTCACTCTAAAACAATAGAAACAAAATTTTGTCGACACTAGCCACCAGTGTCGCCGGAGATGAACTTGATTATTTGAACTAGACGCAAAAACAAGCTTCAAATTTCAAAATTTTCAATGAGATGGGAAGTCTACGTTGTGTTGGTAAGTCTATGGTTTTAATTGCCAAAAATTAAATAAAGATAGAGACCAGAGCCACGGCCACCTTTAACTCCAGGCCGCGGCCAGTTATAATTTGCAACGTTGCAAGTAGTGTTGTCTGGTGCCAGACGTCCCATACGATACCATGGCAGACAGGTGACACCAGCTTATTAAATTGCGTTTAATTCATTTAAATTTTAATTTATGGACATAAATTTTATGAAAAGATTGAAAATCAAACATAAATAATTGAAAACCAAAACAATCTTTCTAATATTATGAATGTAACTTTTTTTTAGTAATTTAAATAATCAATTATTGAAAATCTGTTTTTTACATTAAATTGGAGTAAATATTTTCATAATCCAGTAACTATAAGCTTTTTCCTACAGTTACCTAACAATGTACATGTTCTCTCACTGATTTGAGAAAGCAAAGTGGCCAATTCGCTCATCAGTGAGACAATGTTAACATTGTCTCACTCTAATTACTTTGTCTCACTCCAGATTTGCAACGTGAAGGCAAGAAATAGTGAGCACGTAACATGCAGGCAACGTCGTATGCGCGCGAAATACGTTGGCAGCACTGGCTGTAAATCAGCTGGTCAGCTGTTGTACTGCTGTATTTGTCACTTCACATTAAATGTTATATTAAAAGTTCACTGTGCAAAAATAGGTTATGTTTCTTCATAAATTATGGTAACAAATTATGGTTTTATGGTAACTGTAGGAAAAGTATAATGTGCAACTCGAGTTCAAAGTACAATTGCCTCACTCGAGAAACCATTCCTCACTCGCCTACGGCTCGTGAGTAAGGATTTCTCTCGAGTGAGTCAATTGCTCACTTTTCTCACTAGTTGCACAAAAAATAACTTTTTTCATTCTTAAAATGTACACAAATACCATTAGCCACCTCCAAACAAAACAGCTGTTACGTGAAAACCCTATTAGTACTTGCGATGTTGCACGGCCTAATTTAACTACAGACCACGGCCTGGTAGAATTGGCTACGTCGCAAGTGGTGTTGTTTAGATAACAGACGTCCCATTAGATAACATGGTAGACATGTGACATCAGCTTATTAATTCCCACTTTACTGATTTAAATTTAAATTTATGAACAAAAATTTATTATAATATTGAAAATAAAACATACAGAATTGAAAACCGAGACAATATGAATTAAAAATCTATATCTGTACATTTTAAGCGGAGTCAATTTTGTCAGAGTCCAGTAAACAATCTTTCGTAAATACCCAGCTGCTTCCAAACAAACAGCTGTTACAACACCACTTGCGACGTTGCCACTTCGAAGGCTGTGGCCTGGAGTTGGAGGCGGCCGTGACCAAACACGGCCGCCTTTACCTACGCACCGTAGCGTCTACTCTACACACAAATATTCCCATAAGAACTACATCTCACAACGGACATTTTTTATATTTTGCCTCATAGAGTCGACCTTGGGGCCCTAATCCATGGCCACTTAATCCCATACTTTCGATGTAGTAGGGAGGGCAGTAAGTTATATGGAATTAGGAGCTGTGGAACCCCTCTCGTCGACATACCAGTAGTGTTGACAAAAGAGCGGGAGATTCGAATTTTAAGTGAACCGATTTTCTTAAACAACTCGGTGGAAAGCTTACCAGATTAAATTTTAATAAAAGTGTATTAAACCAGTTACAAAAGTACAGTATAGAATTTCAATAAACTTGAAGGTAAATCGCTCTAGAGTTCATTGTAAACCCAGTTTGTTAGGACAAAGCGGAAGACCAAAAAACCATCAACTAGAACCTTTTTATAGCCTTCTTTTATCTAACAGGCAAATAATAAAACCGGCAACCAAATAAAAACTGGTGATGGATAGGATGTGATTTTAGGATGGATATAAAGATCCTTGGTTGATTTTCAATTTTGTTTAAATCCAGAAGAATTAAAATAAATTCTATATTGATTAATGAAACTGAAAACTAAATTTTTAATATTGTTTTCATCTAATTAACTTTTTACATCATGAGTTTTATTTGTTATTTATGTGTTTCAAACTATTAAATACTTCACGATTCCCAAAGCCCTGGTCTTTCCTCTAGTTACACACGCATTGTAATTACTTTAGTAGAACATTACTACTTCCAAACGTTCTTCAATAATAAGCTGTCGTCAGAATGCATTTTATTTCCAAATGTGTATTCGCTTTCAAATAAATCCTAAAAACCTTATAATCTAAATGCGAAAGTTTATTGTGTGTAGGAAACGTACACAATAAATGTATGCGTTTAGAGTCCACGGAATAGAGAGAGATAATAGAGAGAGATAATAGAGAGAGACAATAGAGAGAGACAATAGAGAGAGACATTCCGCTATCAGAAATAAAAGAGGTTAACCGATAAACAGACTTTTTACCGAACAACTAGAGGTAGTCTTTTATTCTACGTTTGATTATTCGCAGACTTGCGATAAGACCGTCCAGCGATAACACCTGGTTCCGATAATAATCATCGCTAAATATTATACCTTATTTATTCAGTTTTAATATAGTGCTGTGAGTGGTAACATCGAATGTTCAATTGTGCGCATTAATACATTTTCCGTTGTCGATGTCTATGGTACAATAATTTCCTCAGTTCGCGCACTTTTCGGCGGTCCTTTGCATACTCAATTGCACTCGAGTTTTTCGCGTTTATGTAAAATATTTTGTGACTTTCTGTGCTAATAACGTGTTTAATATTTAGTTCACACTGTTCGGAATGTCTTGTGTCCATTTTATTACATTAATTCGAAGTGAAAAGTGTTAGTTTTCTCTTTAGAAAGATTTATGTCGGAATGTTACACTCTCGTGTGTCGTGTGTGTTAAGTGTTAAATGTTTTGGTTTTAAAAGTGTTTTAAGTCTTAAATATGTTAAATACCATAGGCTAACATAGTTTAAAGTGTCATGTGCCCATTATTTTGGAGTATTTCTGATGGAATCACCTTCAGTAAGCAGTTTTATATCCACCTACACATGAGCTAAGGTACGCCGGCAATTTTACTTTGTTTGGTTTTAGCTGTAAAACTATTATCTGACTGTGAAAATATGATGTAAATGGAAGGCTAATGAAGTAGTTTAACTACTGATTTCATGTAAGGGACGAGTTTTAGCTTTGTTTCAGAAATATACAAAGATCATTATAACCATTTTTTTAGAAAGAATGTCCGCCATTTTAAGTTTCCAGTTTTCAGCATCCTTCCCAAAGTAAACGACGCCTTTCCTGATTGGTTAATTTGCGCCAATCAGAGAGTTTGTTTTGAGAAGAAGAAGGCAATTTATTAAGTAAATTGCGCAAAAGTATGTATTTCCGGTCAAGTTAGAGTCTATCGGAAAGTTTCTTTTACAAAAGGCTGTATTTTACGGTTGGTGCAAAAATTAATATGTTTATCCAATACTTTGTATTCGAGACTCGATTGCCATAATCAATATGAAAACTGTTGAAACGGTATTTATGTAGATTATTTATGCTGAAAATTATGTCCTGTTCATAATTTGTTTTAGTAGGCCTAATTACAATTAAATTGAGATTTTAGGTTATTGATCAGGTTAAATGTTAACTGATTGGTCAATAAATTCTGAAGAGAAGGAAAATAAATAATTTAGATGCAAAATATTATTTTTCTACTTCTTTAAATTAGGTTTAACCTTTGACTATTGGTTAAACATAACCTAATCAAAGTTAGGTTAACTTTAACTGTTTGCACTACTGTATTATAATAACTTACAAAATTTAGTCAGTTACATATTGCG